CAGTCCATTTGCCCTCTTTGGCTGAACAGTTGTGGCTGCAAATACAAACAGCCCAACACTGCTGAAGTTAAATCTGCAGAAATCTCCAAACTTTAAGTACTTTTTGATGGGACACAGATAAGGCGGTTGAGAGACATACAAAGCTTGTCACATTCGCACAGTTGCCTTATATTACGCAATCACATGAACCAATCTTAACTAGGTAACTAGCTGGCTAACGTGTAGACAGCAGAGTTATTTTTTCAGGTTAAAGCAACTGCCCCTCAAGATATCTGTGCACGGCCTTGCTCAAGTGTGCACATCCACACTAAGTCAGCTAAATTTAAAGCACATTTCTCTCTCTCTGTTTTGGCCACCTGTCTGTTAGGTATTTTTGTAATTGTTCCCCAGAGTAGATAAATCTAAAAAATACCATCCTTACATTTTAATGTGGACAGAGAATTTCTGCTATTTCAGTTGTCTGACAAGAGAAACAGGAAATCATGTAACTGAGAACAACTAAACTCTGATTTTGGCTGTATTACAACAGAATAAAGGCACTGATGGAGAGCAGGAGGATTCAGAACGGAGCTGTAAGAGGTTGGTTGCAATGCACCATTTTGTTAAAGAGGAAAAAGATCTGTTTCTGCAGTTTTTTTTTATTTTCCTTGTGCAGCTGAGCACACTAATCCCGTCTTTGTTGGGAAATATCTCCAGACAAATCGGGTTTACATGAACTAAAACCATTTCTTTCTACTGTAAATTAAGAAGAGGTTACAAGGGGGATTTGCTGCTCACTATATTGTTAATGTATCTCCAAAACCTGAGAATGAAACAATGTACACAGTCAAATCTGCACTTTTACTGTCTAAATGAAACCTGAATTGAAGTTACACTTTATTGATCCAACTGTGGAAATTCAGTTACCATCTATAACTGTTCAGCGAGGCCCCTTAAGCTACTTAATGGGTTATTCAGGTTTAAAGAGGTTTTACGTAAAGCTGTGGTATTTTTTTTTTTTTTTGTTGCAGTAAAATGGAGCTTTAGGTGAAACACTCACCTTAGCTGCCCAGTTCACCAGCCAGGTAGGGATCATGCCACCGGGGTTGTCGAAGTAGTTCATGAAAACTGAAACCAAGCACATGTTCATCCTTGATATTAGGGCTGCAGATACAACTATTCTCTATACACAGAGTCACATGGTGTCTCTCTCCCTCTGCCTGTGTTGTATCGCAGCCTCTCTGTGGTTTGTTGACACAGCCGGTCTGCTCTGTTTAAAATTACCACTTTTTGGGGAGCGATAGTGTATAACTGCTGTTTCTGGTTAAACAAAAGGATGCTTTTTGTTGTTGTCAGACATTGTTTTTAGAATAATAATCTGAGCCTCAGTGGCAAAAATACTGGTTGACGTTATATGACAGGTGCATTTGTCCCCATGGATTAGCTAACGTTACATGGCAGCCATTGTAGCCATTTCTCATCGAACTCTGTGAATTCAAGATTAATTTTGACCAAACTAGAGTTGGTCATAGTTGGAAATGTGTTTAAATGTGTTTTTATGGTTATCTGCGAGGTAAAATTACTGGTTTTGTTAATGGAGTCCATTATTTTGTCTGAGATGGTGGTGCTCTAGTGATCTAGTTGCAAGTGAGTTTCATATATATAACTTGATTATTTTATGTGTTATTGCATATATTTATAGTAATATTGGAATAATATTCAAATCAACATCACAATATTAAGCTAACCATTTCAGGACTATTTGACATTCACTCCCGTCACACGTTACCTTTAGTTCCACCGGCTCCATCGCTCTCCAGGGCGACGCTCTGCTTGTAGTCTTTGACCCGCAGCACGCCACTCTTCTCTGCACACGGTGTATCTGGGGAACTCCTGGCCAGGATCACCCAGATCTTCCTGCCGTCCACATCCAGGTCTCTCCGCTCCCTCATGTACACATACTGAGGTTGGAGCTGTTAGGGAAGACAATCTGAAACATGCTCTCCATTATAGCCTCTATAAACAACACTCTATTAGTTTGTCCATGAGTTGTCTGTGCACTGGATGTATGTGGACCAGAAGGATACGTCCCTGTTTGACAAAGGAAATGGGTATTTTACTTCCCAGTAGATTGCAGTCTGTCCATTGAAGTCCTTCTCATAGAGCTCTGGGGGGAAAAAATGACAAAAACATTAAATAAAAACATCAGCTGTCGGTAACTGGATGTAAATGAAACACTTAAACAGGATTTTAATGGTTTCTATGGAAAGGAAAGAAAGGAAAGGAAATGGTAAGGAAACTGAGATTTTTTCGGATAAAGTTTATGGCAGACACCTGAAACACTGCCTATGGCCAATTTATTTGAACGGAAATTATGCAATTAGAAATAATAACTGTAGCCCCCCCCCAGTAGGCTCAAGTTGATCAGTACAGTACAGTTTCTCCTCATCCACATTAACCCAATGTGACAAACTGTACAGCACATGCTTTTAGATTACACTTATGAACAAATTTAGCACAAAACTTCCACAAACAGGCTTATTTTACGCCCAAAAAAGTCCCTTCTTCCAGGCTGACTCAGAACTGAGACTGAGTTTCCATGGTAACAATCAGTGACAACTGCTGACCAGTGGCACGAAATAACAAAAAATTAAATATCAGTGAGGACATTGTTGTTTTAATATGATTTGACTACTTAAAATAGTCAAGAAGAAACTAAACCATTAGTCAAAGTCTATTTTTTAGAAACCTGCCCCTGGAATTATTATTAATTAGTGTATGTAACTGTTGCTAGTAGCAACCACTACTGACATGTTTGGATAGCAGAGGGTTAACTGACGATGTTACAGCCACCATTTTGTCAGTTATCTTATACTACTTCAACGTATTTGAACATATGTACCGAGTTACTTTGAGCATCAGTATGTAAATATTTAGACAGTAACAACTAATCTTTATGTAAATAGTTTGTGCGGTCAAAATATGTCAGCAGTACCTGTAACTAGTGATTCTGGCCTCTTTTACTCTTTCACTCTAAACGGGTCATGCTGATGTTAGCGTTGTCAGGACTCTAGTGAATACAATAATACTCTGCTACAACCACAGACAACACGACTATCCCAAAAAACACATTTTGAAGGAGAAAAGCTACTTCAGCCAACGTTACAACTAAAATCACCTGATGCGTGTGGATTTGTGTTTTTTCACAGACTAGGAAGCTACATACAGTATGTGACTACAGACTACGGCAACAACATGTTACCTGCAGGTTACTGTAGAAGCATGAAGACAAGGATAAAACATTAAAAAGGTTACTTCAGTGTATAAAACAATGCCTTTATATAGAGAGCATTAGAAGATCTAAGAAGACACACTGAACAGACAATGACAACAGAAGGCTACACATGTGTAACTGATCCATGGTGATTAGCAACTCACTACAGAGAACATGAAGGCTTATTCTTAACCAGGAGAGATGAGGGAAGGTTGGTTTGGATGGCAAGGATCCTGTTATCCTTTGTTTTTTTTTTTTTTTACCTTTTGCATAGTTATCCCAATCTTTCCGATACTTCAAGTCCATGTAGACATCTGCACACAGCTCTGCAGTGCAGGTGGTGAGCACACCAAAGACTTTGTATTCATAAAGTCCAGTTTCCTGAAAACAGCACATGAAAGTTCTCTCTCTTCCAAATGCAGGCTGCATGCCACACCCACAATATGCAAGTAATCCCCGAAGCACACGACTCTGATTAGAGCCAGTGTGCGTTTCCACCCTTCATCACTGCGAGTGAGGAAGCGTGCAGGGTTTGAGTCAAACGTGCAGAAAACGGGTCAGAGGATGCTTTCTCTCGCTCACACTTAAACACAATAAACAATGACAAACTGAACGTCTACGCTGATTTAGTGTAAGTCACGTAGGCATACTTTAAGGCACTTGTAAGTCAAACCAAAGTCCATTCACAAAAACGTCAATTTAAGGTTTTCTTCTTTTCCCTTTGCAGTTGACAGCATATAAGGCCTCAAATGTATTAGATATCTTCTTGATTGTGCATTACTGGGAGTTTAAAGAGACTCAAGCAGTGTCCCATCACAATCATTCCTACGTTTTGAGCCAAGTTTGAAAAAGCTTATTTGGTAGACCAAGTTCAGTGTGTGCAGAATCCAACCAGATTAAGAAAATGACTTATCCCTGTATTGTTGCCAACAATCTTGTGTCTTGTATAAGTTCCAACAAACTACAATTTTGTCTTGTCTTTATTAGTTTTATCCAGTAATAAGTTATAAAATGTGGGTAAAATGTTGTTAATAGCTATTAAATAGGCTATAAAGTATCCTGGCCCTTCAAATTAACAATGAATGGCATGCATTTAGGAACTTAGTTTTTATAAAATACAGCACATTGCAAAGATACAGAGGTGCCCATAGCTGTCTGATAATTCATATAACTTGTTTGCAGTAGTCATTTCAGTTTGATGCACAGTTTTGTTTATGCATGCATGAACTTTATTTATTTATTTACTTTTTGATCCCCTTTTGGTCAAAATGAATTAGAAGCTAGTGTCTTGATGTGTGAGCTGTATGCCGAGCTGAAGAGTGGATCCTTCTGATTTCATACATGTGTGCAACCAGGTCCTACGAGCTATGCTTATGTGCCCAAAGGAGAGGCGACGTTAAAATGACAGATTTATAAATGGAGTTTGGTACGACCGGTACAGCCGGTTTCTGAGTCAACCAGCTCTCGCTCAGTTTCCGGATATTTCTCAACCTGGCCGCTAGGAACTCACTGCCAAAGTGTTTACTGCTCTTAATGAATAAATCACATGAAAGATAACAATCTCACATCATTCTGTAAGGAAATAAATACCGACGCTACCGGGTCTGCAGCGGAAACCGACACACACACACACACACACATTAGCAGCAGCCTCCGGTCGTACAGCAGCACTTTGACTGGTTTTCGGTACCTTGTCGTAGAGCCGGTAGATCTTCACTCCCATGGTCTCGGTGAAGAGCTCCCATCCTCCCTCCAGCTGCGGCTCGTCCAGCTCCCCCCAGGCTCCCTGGAACTCCTCATCTGTAAACTGCAGCGACATGACGGCTCCTCTCTCTCAGCTGTCACCCAGCGCCGCTTCCGGTCACACCTTCACAATAAAACCATCGGCGCAAACTCATAGTGCTACATTTAGTCAGGGATGTGGAGGAATTTCATTTGGGTTAAATTAATAAGTTAATTTAAAAAAAAAAAAATGTTGAAACTGATTTTTAAGTAAGATAAACTACATTTTGTAAGGTAAAAATAACATTCTTGATCAGGTATCTTCAGTAATTTTAAGTGAGAATTAATTTTGTAATTTTTATTCGTACTGTGAAACCATAATACCTAGTAAAAAGTTATTAATCAGGAATGTATATGTATGTATGTATATTACTAAACTCAATTACAGTCACTTAAAATGACTAGTAAAAGCGGATTAACTATGCCATGCTTTTGCCATCCTAGGAAAAAAGCTTGCAGGACACTGAATGATGATGTGCTTCAGAGGATTTAGAAGTGGGAATACCCAATGCCGACTCTGTAACCCGCTCATACCCTGTACTACAACACTGGTTTTAGGTTACTTATTTAACTTTACTTGAGTCTTTACATTTTATTCTACTTTATTCTCCAACTCCACTACATTTCAGGAGGAAATATTGTGCTTTTCCTCTTCTACATCTATATTCCTCTATTTTATTATAACGTATAATGTATCTATTTTATTTTCATTGTATTTCATTCTCTTTATTTACTCTTTGCACTACACTCCCCTGTACTGCTGTGGTAAATTGAATTTCCTCTACGGGGATCAATAAAGAAACATCTTACCTTATAAGAGTAGTTACTCTGCAGATTATACATATTCCTACACATTCATCACTTATAAATATTATTAGTGCAATAATATGAGCTGTGGCTGACTTTAGTACAGTATTTGGACATACATACTGAGTTACTTTGCACATAAGAGCATTAGTATCAGGATATGACGCACTGAAACAAGAAATGTGGTCACTAAGAAATACTGTGTAATGGGAAAATGCATTCAGGGTTCTGTGAACATGAAGCAAACTGTATTATGTTGTGTTATTCCATGTTTATTTTTACATGCAAACAGTATCAATGTATTCACACTGGCTGTCTCACTCATTTCAGGAGAGTTGTTATTCATTGTGCTATGATCTAAGTACATACCAAAGACCAAGGCTGTCTGGGGGAGAGCTGGTCTTCAGATGTGTTCTAACTATTGTTTATCAGACATTAGCCGTCGCCAACAGACATCCTTTGGGGGGAAAGGCCACATTCTTTGGGACAACTCGGTTTGCTTGTGTGATGCAAATAAATCTTGCACATGGAGATAAACTGTTTGTGAGTGTGTGTCACCATTCTGGGTTCCTTCAGTGGGAGTTTGTGGTCTCTCACTATAGTCAGATAGTTAAAAGTTGCAGTCAGAGATCAACTGAGGTGCACTGAGGCAAGACAAATTAAACCACAACAACAGACGAAAAATTAAAAAGAAATGCAATAAATTCATCTCTAATCTGTCTAATATGATACTGTGAGCTGATTTCTATAGTGTGCAGAGTTTCTACCCTCCCTTCGGCTCCAGTGTCAATGCTTGGAACCGGAAATAGACTGATATATTACAAAATAAATGCATGCGAAGAACTGAAAGTACACGCAACAAATGCTGGCAGCAAAGGGAGATTTACTTTGAAACAGACCGGAAATCGCACCTTTGCCTATTGATTTCAACTTCACACCCCCCGTCATCGATACTTGAAATAGTTGTTCTGAATGAGGATGGCAGCAGTCCGGCCAACAGCTCCAACCTGAGGACTTCACCGAGGGGAGGGGGATGAATGGGAGTCAGATTCCTGCTTGTTGTTTGGCTCAGCTCGGAAGGAAACAGCAGCTCACTTTGAATCAGATGAATCCGACTAAATGTTTCATGAGTCCGGTCCCTGTGCGGAGGAGCGACATGGACAACGGCTGTGAGGTAACGGACCTCTCCTCTGTCTGTCTGTCTGTCTGTCTGTGTGTCTGCTTCTGTCGGGGACATTCACCTCTCTGCACATAACAAGTTTGGGCTTAATTCATTCTCTTAGGAGACCACAGAGACAGGTTACATGGTTGCTGGTGCACTTTCATTGACTGATATTTTAAAAGGATTTTCACAATAATACTGTTCATGCCTGATGGACAGTGACAGCAGCCTGAACAAACACTGAATGCAGCACACCTGTCAGAAAGAGCAAAGAACAGAAACAACATAGGTTGTAATGTGGACTGTTTCCTTCTGTATCTGTTTCACATCTTGGACCTTGAATGCATCTTTTTTCTTTAAATGTTCACAGACACAAATTCCATTTCATTTCCAAGTGAAAGGCTTTTTGCTGTTGTGTTACGCTGCTATTAAGAGGAAATCAGTAAAGTGTGAATAGAAGTGACTTCTGTAATAGGTTTTTTCTGCCAACTGTAACTTAAAAACAAAGAGAACAAAGATCTTCTCTGAAGGTAGTCATAGGGATTACAAACCTGTTTCAAATTTGAACCTCACCACGGCCTGTGTGTGTGTAAAAGGCTGATCAATCGGGTTGTCATCAGGATGAGTCTACTGAACAAGAAAAGAGCAAAGATTTGACAAAAAGCCTAAACAGCCTAAAAAAATAGGCTAAACATTGGTAAACATAATGCAACCATTATTTTCTGAAACAGACGTCCAAACTGTTATTTTCATTATTTATTTATTCTCAATCGATCGTTATGGCAGAAAATGGTGAAAAATGTTTTTATGTTATATAATTTCTCACAGCAAAAGAAAGATGCTTTCAAATGTCTTCTTTTATTCGACTAACAGTCCAAAACTCCAAAAAATTCGAGTTTATAATCGTTTAAGCATCAAACACTCACTTTTGATGAGCTGTAACAGCTTAAAAGCTTAAAATTACTTAATAAACTGGTTACCTATTCGTATTATTAGTATTATTATAGTAAAATCCTGGTGGGAAAGCTAAAAACTGACACATAGTGGTGATTTAATTTGCTGATTCCAAAGTGTATACTCCACCCAGGTTGCTTAAACTCCCCCAAAACTTTCCCCAAAGCAAATAATATACCCTCAGTAGCTATGGCTCTGACCCCATGACGGGGCCTGACCCCCAGATTGGGAACCACTGGTCTATAGTCTGTCTGAACCACCTTCCACAGTTCCTACAAATTCTCTAGATGTTAAGATTTAATAGCAAGTGTTTTAAACCCCTGACAGTGATGGAAGGTATAACTGTAGCTGTCTGGCCCATGTATTGTCACTCAGAGTCTAAATCACAGCTTTCCACCCAGCAGATGTGAGTGAGGGGGGGTGAGAATGAGTGCTTGTGAAATTGCTAGTGATTTTGAAGCTCCTCGCATTTCACGGAGCAGTTTGTAATGTCATATCCTGCGCTCTCCAGGGAATGTCTCAGCTCGTGCTGGGCTGAGTGGTCCTGCGTCATTCAGACAACTCCTCTGACTGGGTCAGGAGGCGGCTGCGATTGTGAAAAAAGAGGAAAGTGGTGCTGAATTGTGAAATGCGGCGTTGAATTTTGAGAAAAAGCATCTGGGAGGTCTCTTCTGGAAAACTGTGTCCAATGTTGAGCAACCAGTTTGCATTTTCACTGCTTTAATGAGTGGTTTCTTTCTCCGCACAGACTGGGAGACCCTAGCAAGGAAAAGAGGTAAAAGGGCAACGGCGAGGGACCATCTGTGGTTGGTTAACAGAAGGCTCCTTGATCCTGCAATGCCAGAAGAAGCTAATAAGGACGCCATGAGAACGCCAGCGACCCCAGAGAAGGCCAACAACAACGAGTGTCCCGCAGCCCCAGCGACGACGGTCAACATCCCCCTGGTCAATGAAGTCCAGCTGACGGCAGCCACCGGTGGGGCGGAGCTGTCCTGCTACCGTTGCACCATCCCTTTTGGCGTGGTGGTCCTCATCGCCGGCATCGTGGTCACCGCCGTGGCCTACAGCTTCAACTCGCACGGATCCACCATCTCTTACTTCGGCCTGGTGCTCCTCTCGGCCGGGCTGGTGCTCTTAGCGTCCAGCGTCGTCTGCTGGAAGATGAGACTGGAGAGGAAGAAGGAGAGGCGACGGGAGAGCCAAACCGCCCTGGTCGCGAACCAGAGGAGTATTTTTACTTGAACTAGCAGTTTGGACGACACGTGTCCTGGTTCTGTGAGTCGGAAAAAGGCCTGATTTTAAGATTGAGTTGGAGAACCAGATGTGGACAGATGTTGTCCAGCATCGTTGGATTTCTGACCCATAAAAGCTTTGACCGCAGACTCTCAAGGCCCAGAACTTAAAGCTTTGAAGACATTGTAAGGGATTTATTTGTCAAACAGACGTTGAGCATCTGGTGAGCCGGGAACGCAGCCAAAAGGAATGTATCACAATTAAGATGAATTACCACTGTGCGAAGCGATGTAGAGGAAGTCTCCCATTAATCCGATGTTGGATGCGGCGGCTTTGATTATAATGGGAGGGATTGTGGTTTAGAAATGCCCAGGGAAGGAGAAGGAAACTGGAAAATCCAGGACAATGATTCATGCCTCATTTACTATGCTTCAACTTGGACGTATCTGTTTATAAAGTGTTCATCTCACAGGGAAGGATTATGAATGGCCTGTTATGGAAGTATGGTACTTGATATGAGGATTGTGTTTAAAATCTGCCAATATACACCGTTCAGATTAGATGGCACATGATATTATACAGAGAGAATATTTAACCGTAAATATATATTCTCTTAAAGCACTTTGATCCTTCATAATCATCATATTCCGTATTACAAGAAATCTATTAACAAATGAAATGAGTGACACATCCACAACTCTGAGTAGTTTTGCTTATTTCGGGTTGTGTTGGGTGATGATCACTTATTGTCCAGTGTACTTCCATACTATAAAAGGATATTATTGTAGCATATGTTGTTGTTTTGATGTAATCATTTGCATGTATTAACTGTTACCAGGACGTTATGAGGTTCAATAAACTCATTGATACACATAAAAATCATTTGGGAAGTGTGAGTTTCAGATTGTTGGGGCAGATATATTCAAGAG